CAACAAACCCTGTGCTTTGTGTCATCGGAAATTAGCAACTTTTGCTGAAAAACAAAATAATAAATATCTATTATCAACCAAATACCTCGAGAATCCGGCTACCCATGAACATAAAAAAGAGACACCTCCCCCCAGCAGGCCACAAAAGTTGGAAGCGGTATACATATCTCTCGTCGCGAGTCGGTTGTTTATGAAAAGTTTTGTAAAATTATTTGCTGGCTGGCAGATAAAGTGTCAGAAATTTTGTTGAAATTCTGCTGCGGCCAGAAACCGCATCGGAATGTCCACGATAATGTTATCGAAAAGTGTCCAAAGGCAAAAGGAAACCACTCGTGTTCTCCCTTTTCTTTTTTTGGTGTTGAACCACCAACCTCTACTATTAACTCCATGTCTTGCTCCATTTGCGAATGCCTGAAGCTGCATTTTCCCTATTTTTTCAATTTTTTGCATTTTAATTGAATTAAAGGAAAGAGGCAGGCGTTGGGGGCGGGAGGGTGTCTTGGCAAAAAGAAATAGAGTTCCTGGTCGCGTGTGTGCTGAACTGGAGGATGGGGGACACCAGGGACACCACCAACTCTTGGCCATAAATCTGTAACTGTTTGCTGTACTTGACACATTTCGTAGCTGGAACTGAGGCTGTCTTGCCGCGAGGAGAAATAAAAGGAAAACCAACCGTGGAGTGGAGTGTTGCAACCAAATATTTGCGTAGGTGTGCAACGGCGTGTCGCCCCAGGCCCCATGGTGTGTGTCAATTAAAATTAAGCTTTAAATTTAATAAATTAATAAATCTTTAACAGATTTCTGTTCATGCACTTTCCGAATGTATATATTCAAGTGTATTATTGCCAAAAACGAACCTTAAACCAAAAGGCCACCTGTGCGAGTTATTTCACAGATACATATTTGCGATTGGATATCGGAGACGGAAGTATAGCCGTTGGCAGTATCACATCCAGATCAGATTCAAATATGGCAGCGTATCATTTATTTATTTGTTTTTTTCCAACGAGGTCCCGGTCATGTTGCGTATACGCAGCGTGGACAGCCGCAGCATTTCCATTCCATTCCATCCGAGAGTTGTCAGTGTTTGTGTTTAAATGTTTAATTTGTTTGCCGTTTAATTAAATAAAGAAAAAAGCGCCCAGGAGCAGGAGCAGGAAAAAAATTAATGAAAACAAAACATTTTAATTAATAACGAGGGAATGTGGTTGGCGGTGTTGCATGTTGTTTTTCGTATTTTGTTGGTAGTTGCTGTCATGCCGCATAACAATGTTCTTGGTTTATGGATGTACATGTACATATATGTATATGGATGTAGGCATATGATTCGCATTTACATGTTTAGCCTATATATTTTAAATATCACGCATACGTCATGTCAGCCGGGGAGGAGACCGAGGCTACGGCCATAAAACTCTTTTTTTATGAATTTCATTTAATTTAATTTTACTTTTTGTACACTTTATGATTTCAGAGTGTTGTGTGTTTGGATAAATGAAACATTCCGAATTTGCATACATCGTGAGGATACTCAAATATTTATTCGCACTACGTGATTGCTTATAGTGGATACGTATGACGACGACGCGACCTCTACAACATGCGACAGCATACACATTGTGCCCCCACTGAGCCATCAAATGGTTATAAAACTTTACCACTTCATTGTCCTGGCTCCTCCTGTTCTCGCCTAGTATAAAATTCAATCTCGGTCTAGATTCTAGAGGCTCTCAGCGCTACCCAATCGACCGTAGAGTGTGGATGGTGGCGGAGGAGAGCACGGCCTTCTATCGGATGCGGCATCGCCATCAGAGTCTTTATGGCAGGGAACAATGGCTTCAGCCAGGCAGGAAGCTTTCTCCTTCAAGGGAGCGAATTATCCACAAAACTATGTGACATTCTTGCGATTAAATGCACGGCAAGAAAAACAGTAAAATATAATTTGATAAAAGGGCTTTGATTTTAGATAAAATAAGAAAGAAAGACTCTATGATACCCGATGCTCCTCACGACTACGAAGGTCCCTAGCTATCGATACTTTTTGGATATGATACCTAATACTTCTCACAACTATCGTTTAAGTTTGGGACTCATAAACGAAAGATCTCAAGCTATCAATACATTTTCAAGCATTATTAATGCAAAAATCGATACATTTAAAGTAAAACTACTAACATAATGCCCAAAGTCTTTGTTGAACATTTTATCAGAAAGCAGAAAATTCCCTTAAATTCTTCCTGTGACCTCTTGTATGAAAGGCAGTCGGAATGAATAATGCCATTGGCTTGGGCCAAGTTAAGTTCATACCGGAATTAACGGTTCAATGGAAAGACACAGTGTCTTCGAGATGGAGGCACCCAGATGGGTCCTGCAACTAGGTCTCTATGCCACTTGAGCTGAATGGTTGGGGGGAAAATGTTGGAAAATGGGGAAATGGAGGCAGAATGCGTGGTGGGAGTGGCGGCCAAGTCGCTGAAATGATGTCGTGCGTGCGCAAACTATGCGACGTCATTAAATCTAACGAGTTTCTAGGGGATTGGACGCCCGAAGGGTGGTTTAGGACTAAGTAGGAGGCTTTTGGGGCTGCCAGGACGAAGTGCCGCCATGCAAAGTGTCTACAGTTTCAAAAATATTCCAGCAGAAGAGAAGCTGAACAAAAACTTTTCACAGTAATTTCCCCCAAAAAGCGACTTAAGTACTACAGCCGACTCGTATGTGACTTGGTTTCTTGTTGCGATCTGGAATTACACATTAACTTGGCTTAATTGGAAGAGCCGACCATTAACAGAGGCCTTAATTGCCATTGTGTTGGTATGACAATTTCCGCCAAAGGATGCCAGCCAATTTGAGCTCAAGATTTATTTTGTTTACTTCCCTAAATCAGTTCTTCAATTGATTCAAGTTAGGGGATTTGAGAGGAATGGGCCAAATGGCTAAAAGCCATTTATCTCCTTTTGTTCGCATACATTTTGGCCATCAAGGGGTTAGTTGGAAAACTAATGGCCATTTTATGTAAATGCTTTTTTGGATTTGAAATATGATCTAGTTCCTTATCATAATGCCTCGAAAAATGTTCTCCAGTAAGCTTTCCTTTCTGGTTACTTATCTGTTTCTTAAAGTTCAAACCAAAAACAGAAAGCCTTACAAGCAAATCAACTTAGAGACCCCAAATCGAAACTGAAACCGGTAGGTAACGCCCACCCAGAAATCGGATCAAAGCCAAAAGTCGGCTTAATATCAGATCAGAAAAGCTTCAGAGTTCGGCTTTGATTAGCAGGCGGAAGTCGAGAGGCCCGAGGCCCACACACCACTGCAAACTGGAGCAGATTGACCCGGCGATTGACTGATTGACTAACTGAGTGACTGACAGACTGACAGACACTGCAACTGACTGACTGACTGATTGATGGATGGTGGGAGCCACTGGTTTAATTGAAGTTCGCGGCGCAAATGGAAGACAAAACCATTGCAGATCCCAGAAAAAAAAGACCCAATCATAAATTTATGATACCCGTCGCCAGTCGTCAGGTGTCCCAAGATAATGGCCAACCAACCACCCCACCTCTGACGACGACTCCAACGACCGATAAAATGTGAAATTATTGCCACTCACGTTTGTCTTTTGCCTGCGGGATTTACTCAGCCATTCTTGGGTTATCGAAGGCTCTCAAAGAACAGGAAAGAGCCACGGAATGCCTTCAATTGGGCTGCAAATATTTGCGCGATGATAGCATAACACGTATTCTTTATGACCGGGCTATATATATACCCAGTTTACCTGTTTATGGCCGGTCTATGTTCTGGGCCGTAAGAGCAGGCGATAAGATATGCACTAGTTCGATGATTGATATACGACTGTGGAAGCAGGAAATGTGCCGACCAACTGATATGCTTTTCAGTTTTTAAAACATGATTGCTACAAAGGGGGAAGAGCCTTCCACTAAATCCAAAAAAGGATCAAATACCAGGACTCTGCGAGTTCCAAATCCATGTAATCCCCCACTTTTCAGAAATAATTGCAATGGAGTTTGTCCAATACCCGGAGTTTGTTTTGGTTCCCACACCACACACAACACCACAAACTGAAAATGTACAACATAATTTAGTCTGGACCACAATCAGAGCAACCACGCCCCCGTCAACCTGGCCCCCGCCCACTGTGTCACTTGCCACATGGTCCAAAAGACCGGGCCATGCAATTAGCTGGAGGTCATTGTGTTCGGTTCAGCGGAGTTCACTTCATATCGAGAATCCAATACGATTTTCAGGTTTCGTATTCGGTTTCGGTTTCAGGTTCAGTTCCAGTTTCCGTTTGCAATTTTGGCGGTTTGGATATTGAAATGGGCACGGCCCCCGCAGCTTGGATTGGCGCCTGACAGTGTTTCGACAGCAATTTGTTCAACAAATTTGTTATTAAATGAACACAATTGATTGGCCATTGTTTGGCCTTCATTAGTGGCGAAATAATAGGCCGCAATGAGTAGGGATCTATTGAATTTCAATTATACTATATAGTACATATATACACTTTCTCATTAATATCTGAATGGGTTGTAGCCCTCTTATTACCTTAGGTATTTGGTTCTTACTCTTAACCTTCCTGACAGACGGCCTCCCCCTTGACAGACTGCCATTCAATTGTCAAATATCTTTGGATCTGCAACGTCACGATTTTCCGACTGGCCTCACGACTTCAGTTGCCGGAAAAATTGCATTGAACTTCAAGCCAAGAGAGGGAAAAACTTAAAAAAAAATAAGAATTGAAACTTCACGAAGGCGCCTTGGGGCGTGGCCTTTTTTAAGGGCACGTGGCAGCTGCTGGCTGAATAAAATTTCAATCAGAAACAAATTGCTTTTCGATTCGAGTCAAAAATGATTTTAAGTTTGTGGGTCAAACCAAAATGGGTTAAGTTTGGTTGTAAATTTTGGCAGCTTTTTTGCAACTGCTGGGATTACAAGTACTTCTGATAAATAATTTAACAATTATAGTGCCCAACTCTGTGATTTCGAAACAATATGCTGTGCCATAAATGTTGCTACTTTGTGCCCCTGAACATTGGCTGCCTAATCATAAGCGGACTCTTCCTGAGCTACCACGTGGGCGAGGTGCTGACCCACACCAACGACACCATATTCCTCAAGGACGCCGCCCAATACAAATGGATACCAGTACTCTTTGCTCCCCTGTACACGGGCAGCATTATATCGTCGATGCTTCTCATCTATGGAGCCTATAAGGTGAGCCCTCTTTTGGAGCTTGGACCATCCTCTCAAGAACTTTCTTTTCTATTGCCCCATTCTAGCAGCGGAAAGGCTTCGTCTTGGTGTGGGTCATCATGCATGTCCCCATATTTGTGGCCTATCTGATAATGACCATCTGCGATGGAGCCCTCAAGAACCCACCGCCTCTAATAATCGCCATCCAGGTCATCATCGTAGGTGAGCTTTTCTAAACTTTACCAGAGTACTATATTTAATGGAAATATATATCCCTCATAGTGGGTCTCTTCTATTCCCTATTTGTGGTGCTATCGTACTACCAGTACCTCAATATTTCCGCCAACGAAGACGAGGAATACGAAATATGAAATGTATTTTATTTTTGAAAGAATTTAATAAAATTTTTCAATCTGAATTTGGGTCGATCGAGTCATCAGTGCTGACCTTGTCAGTTTATCCTTACACTTCCCAAGATCTACACATAACAAGTTCTTTAAAACTTTCCAAACAAGGCAGCAAGAACCCTCAACCATGGCCTGCCATTGTAGGTATTTGATTAAGTTCCTCACAAGATGCTGCTTCTGCTACAAGCTCCGCTTCGGGGTCATGATGTTCGGCTGCATCTTCTTCATGTGGTTCATCTACCTGACCTTCGGCACTGCCTTCATGATGGAGTCCATCTTCCCCAATGAATACCAATCGGGAAAGGGACCCTGGTCAGCGTCTGCCCTCAAGACCACCATGGTATTTTCATTTTTCGGAATCTTGTCATCCGGATTGCTGTGCATTGGTGTCCATAATGTAAGTATTCTTTGAAAGCATAGTCTAAGATCTAACTCTATGGCCTTTAGAACAATGAGATGCTCTTTCTACCATTTCTGGTATTTGCACCCATTTGGATTTTGGTTCATATACTGGCCCTGGCCCTCTATGCCTTTAAAGTGGTGGTTATACTCCTTTTAGTCTTAACTATACGTGAGTTTAGAATACTAATCATAGATTTTAGATGAAACTTTATAATCCCCTGTAGTAATTCTCATTTATGCCTGGCTTGTTGTGTGGTCCTACTATGTGGAACTGCTCTTCGCCTACGACGATGAACTGGAAACTGGAACCCGCTACATTTAAGATCTGATCGGAACATCAAGAGGTTCCAGTACTTTATACTTGGGACCTATATAGAGCATTCAACTAACGTTCCATTACATGATTCCTCGTGCCATTCTGACGTATATACACAGAGAGAAAATTATAGTGTCAAAAATTTACAAATCCCTAAATTGTTTGTTCCATTAAAGTTTATAAAAACAAAAGCTTTTTCTCTGTGCATTTAATTCATGGCACACATGGGGGCATGCAACTCCGCATTCGCTCCAAATACAGTGTGGGATATAATGATAATGATTGCTATTACGATTAGAGAGAGAGAGAGGGAGAGGGAGACTATCGCTATAATGACAGTGACCGACATACCTTCGGCAGCGAGGCAAGCACCTGCTGCTTGACATCCCAGACGAGCCGCTCCGATGGGAACTGGAGGCACTTGTAGACGTTCAGCTCCGGCACGTGGATCCGCACCAGCAGCCATCCGTCCCGGGGCTCCGGCGGCGGCTCATCGTCAAACGCCCCCGGCCCGGACATGGCGTCCGTATTGGCCGGGTTCTGTTTGACCTTGGGCGTGGGTGGGTGGTACGTCGTAATTTTGACGGCTTTTAATTCGCACTTTTTGAAGGCGAAATCGGAAGTACTCCCGCTCGGGGGGAGTTTGAATTTTTTCTTAGATTTTTCTCAGTATTTCCTTTTTAATTAATAATGTAGATTTTTTTTATTTGTGAAATCCAAAGTAGTTTTATTTAATCTGCTGATGGAATCTGTTTCGTTGGGACATTTCTAGAAACACTCTGTGGCGCATGATTCTTCTGAAAAAAATAAAGAAATAAATATTATTATTTAAACTACAAGTGTATTATAATTTTTTAGTACTATAGTTACTACTATTAAGCTTTATTAACCATAACTTTTATATGGCAATTGTAATGAACTTCCTGCTCAGAACCTAAAAGACACATTAATAGCTATTAGTTCCCTGTTTCAGCCAATTAAGTCATAAATTTCTTTTCCAGTTAATTCATTTGCATTATTCCCAAGTACATATGGTAGAAATAAAGCCCCTTCCGCCCATCCACAGACTTCCCAGCGAAAATAAAACTCGTTTCCACAGCACTTAACTCGCAAAACTTAATTTGTAAATTGGTTCACTATTTCTAAAAAAACAAAACTCATTGCAGTTTTCTACGCACTACGTACGCTCCCTTGCAACTGCCACAAAAAAAAAGTGAAAAGAAAACAGACAAGCCGCAGAAAACATTTCTCGTTTGTTGATTACGGTTTGATATTGACATTTTGTGGCTGCAACACTGCACTGCCGCTGCAGTTGCAACTGCAATTATGCACAAATTAAATTCACACGCTAACCCCAAAACGGAGGCAGAGGCGGGCATGTACTAGAGCATGTAAATGTGTGCCAATGGCCCGCTGACAGTTGTCGCCTTTGTGCCACACTCGGTAAGAGGTGGGCGGAATGGGTTAAATGCTTACAGAAAAAATATAAAAAAAAAAACAGAAACATCTGCAGCACAGCCTGCATTTTGTCGCATTTAATTGCGAGCGTGTTGATTGCATTCAACTAGTGAGTGTCGGCGGCGGTAAACTACATACTATGTTCCAGAGTGTAAATGGAAAACGCTCTGTGGAAAAAAGATAAATCCTAATTGAGTATAAGGCGAGTGGGTGGCGCGAAAGGGTGGTGGAGCCGGCTCAGTGGAGCCAGGAGCTGAAAAGGTGGCCGTCAAAGGTAGTGATCCAAATGGAAATTCATTAAAACAGAGGATTTTTGCCAAATAAGCAAAAAAGGAGATGGTAACTGCCTTTAGTTCAACGTTCAAAAGCTATAGAATGTTATTTAATTGTGTTATTTATCGGAGGGTTTCTGAACTATATGATACCCGGTACTCTAATCGTTTAATTCTTCCAGTAAACACTCCATCACGCTGCATAAAAATCCTGAGACAAAATATTTTTAAGATTTTTTGTTCATTTTTCCTGATGGGATCCCTTGAAAATTAGGTTTTCCCCTATAGGGCCCACTGTGATGGCTATATCGTCCCCAATTCTCATCCGATTCTCAAGCGGAGTACCTTAAACGATTTGTGGATCGATTCTCCACCATTCTGCATCAAAATCCCGAGACAAAATATTTTTTACATTTTTTGCCAATTTTTCCTGATGAGATCCCTTGAAAATGGGGTTTTCCCCTATAGGGTCCACAGCGATGGCTATATCTTCCCCAATTCTCATCCGATTCTCAAGCGGAGTACCTTAAACGATTTGTGGATCGATTCTCCACCATTCTGCATCAAAATCCTGAGACAAAATATTTTTTAGATTTTTTGTTCATTTTTCCTGATGGGATCCCTTGAAAGTGGGGTTTTCCCCTATAGGGCACACAGTGATGGCTATATCTTCGCCAATTCTCATCCGATTCTCAAGAGGAGTACCTTAAACGATTTCTAGATCGATTCTGCCCCATTCTGCATCAAAATCCTGAGACAAAATATTTTTTAAATTTTTTGTTCATTTTTCCTGATGGGATCCCTTGAAAATGCGGTTTTTCCCTATAGAGTCCACAGCGATGGCTATATCTTCCCCAATTCTCATTCGATTCTGCGTCAAAGTCCTTCAACAATACCTTTCTTTTTTTATTAACAACCTGTTTAAATATAAGGAAATAAATACAAGCTTTTAATTAAGAACCTAAATAAACTTTTAATTTACTTTAGACGCTTTAAAAGCAAATATAAACGCTTTTATAAACACTTCCCTCGATATACTTCCCTTGAAGCTTTCCTTAAACATTTATTTTTATATGAAAAGATAAAAAATGTACTAAATAAATAGTCACCCTCTTTCCGCTGGTTCAGTGGCCCCTTTTGAAAACAGAAAAAGATGTCACGGTCAAAAAACTTCAGCGCCATACATAAATTAAGAAGAAATATCGATAAAAGTAAATGCGAGAAATGAAAACTGCGTTTAAACAACTGACTTGGGCTGGGGAGTTAGTTGGCATGAAAACGAAAACAAAACGCTCGCTCACCTTGGCCGCCAGCCCGCCACTTGGCTGTCAATCAAAAGAAATACAAAAACCAACGAATTTTCAAGCTGTTCAAGTGAAATTATCAAAAAACGACGACACGCTACACAAAAAAACACAAAAACAACTAAACAACAATTTGAAATGGAGTGTCGTCGCGAGACTTCTGTTTGGTGATAAGAGAACCTGGCCAAGGCATTGGCAGAATTTAAGATTGCCTTGGATGAGCCCAAAAGTAATAGAGGTGATAAGGCGAAAGTGGCGTTTTGTTGGGATTTTTTGCTTGTTGATTACGTATACGCCACGTGGGCCGCCAACTCATTCAACGAAGACAACAAGTGCCAGGCCAGGTAATATCATTCTTTGGCCTATTTTATTAGCCAACTTGGCCAGTCAGCATTTGATTTTAATTGAAATTCGAGGCAGTTTCAGGACACTGCCAAGCTGGCGAAAAATAATGTTGATTTCGCACTTAATTGGAAAAGTTACTGGGCAGTACCCCATAATGGACTCTCCCAACTGAAATATGTTCGACGGGCATATGGTTTGCCTGATTTACTGCCCAGTGGCCACCACATACATAATTCCCCTCGATTTGCAGCCATTTTTCACTTGAGTTTAATAGGAAAATTGTGCCCGACCGACCTTAGTGCGAAATGTACTTATTGGGAAGCCACTGGTCGAGCTGGTAGATCTGAATTTATGGTTTTAGTTTTTATTTATTTAGTTTTCGGGTTTTTGTTTCCCCAACAGACAGCTGTCAAAGTAACACTACCAGGTGCTGCTCTCTCCACCCTACATAAAATCAATTTGCGGATATCTGTCTGACCTGTCCTGGGATGTCGGTTGTCGGGTGTCGGCTGTCTTGGGACTGACAGCTTTCGGGTTTTTGGCCAACTTCGAGTCTGGGAGGAAACATTTATTGCATAAGTCCGAGTTATCTAAGGAGGGCTCACTTTTTATGAGGGAAGTATCAATTTGTTTGACATATAATTGGGCTGGGTAAACATTAATTGGTTCTGCGAGCAACACAACAGCCGATTGATAAACAGAACAGAGACTGTCATTCAGGGCACACGGCAAGATAAAAGGAAAAACAAATAAAACTTTATAGTTTTAAACAATAAAAGAGATTACTTTTTTATTGGTTCAAGATTTAATAATGCTCTGAATCCATAGCCATAGCCACTTTCGGGCCTGGCCCACTCGAACATCTGGAGAGCTCTCCTTCACTTGTTACCGCACTTCCCACTCCTGCCGGCGCCTGCCACCTTGTTGCAGGCAACCTCCTTGAGCTAAGTGCTTGTGACACTTGCCTCTCAAGTCTTTATGACAGGCGATGAAATTTTATTTGCCCAAAAGTGTGACAAACTGGAAATGACAAAGTGCCCCAAATGTAGCTGCGCACCAGCTGTGGCACCAGACTCGGCTTTAAGACCTGAACCAAAGGTTAAAGGTTAGGGTTTATTTCGCTCAAGTTTTAAATGTGCCACATCGAATGGGCTTAGGCGGGAATTAGTTGCGGCAAGGAGTCGTCCCTGGAGCGGGGCGACTTTAGTGGGTCAGTGGAGGGTCCCATTGGGCTGGTTCGAATGCGCAACTAAATGCGACTCGAGATGCATGTGCCACACATCAATAAACTCTACACAGGAAGAAAATAATATGCATTCCAGTATAAACCTGAGACCTGAAATTATATTTGTAAAAATAATTGGTTTCGGTGTAAAAATATCCGGATAGAGCAACAGCATCGCTTATGCATAATGGCCCATGCATATTTAAATTGCCTCTGCCCCATGTTGCACGATGCAGTTGGTGCTGCTTTAATAGCAAATTACTTTTGTCATTCCAATGGCTTGCCGCTCAATCTTGTGGGGCGGTGTGGAGTCCTCGGGTAGCCACTTATTGTGGCATACTCTATTGTGGATGCTGCAAATAATTTGCCTTGGCCAGCACAAGCAGCAACAAAATCAGAGGCAACCATAAAAAATGAATGCAAAACGCAAAAGCCCCAATCCACCCGCACAAAACTTAATAATGTCCAACTATTATTCTTGCAACAGCCAGGGCTTACAGTGGAAATTATTAAATTTTATTATCAGGTTTCTTACTTTTGAGATTCTTTGAAAAGAACTAAAAGTTATCAGAACTGATTTTATTTCTATTATTAGTTTATCGATGTATCGATTTAACAGTGCTCATCGCTAAAGGACCTAACCAAAAATTATAACAATATTATATTTTAACAAACATAATCTAGAAGCTCCTCCCACTGTTACTCCGCCAAATCGAAGACGCCATTTTCCTGGGCGAATGCAGTGTTGCGTGTGCCGGAAACGGAAATGCGCACATAATTCCGTTAGAAAGCATGCAACAAAATGGCGCCCAGACCACCAGAGACGAGGGATCTCCTCCCAGAATACGGTCCAGAGGGCGGAATGGCAAGCAAAGTTTAATTAAATAACACTAAATGCAATTTCACCAGACTTCTCCAGGCTCCAGGCTCCATCTTGTGCTGAGACAGCAAAACATGTCTCCTACATCTCTGGCCTGGCTACTGGCTAATTTATTTTGCTATTTTCTGTTTATTTCGAATCGTAGAAGAATCGGAAAGAAAGAAAAGGCCCCACCAGTCAGAGCCAGAGGAGAACGAGATGAAACGAAAGCCAATGAGAGAAAAAAGCAAAAGAGGAAAACTTTAACCCCGAAACTTGTTTTCCAGTCACGTTCATTTTCAATCAAGTGGCATCATTATGCTCGCCAAACAAACTGAAACTGAAATACAAAAAAATAGCAAGCATAGAGAGAACCACAATTGGCTAATACAATACGGCCAAATTAGCCATAGAGGTTGTTGCGGGCCAGAGCCAGACCACCCCAAAGACTGCCCTTAACCCTCTCGGCTGTCAGTCCAAGAACAGCCATCAGCTGTCCTTTGTCTAGGCCCAGAGACCGGCAACGAATTATCTTTGGAAAACCACAGAACCCACTTACTATAGCCATCCACTTCCTGTTGAAACAAATCAGATAAATTCAATGCTTTAAAGCTCTACCTGTTTAGGGAGACAGTCTTCGAACAGGTGTTCCATTACGCCAACATATTCGAATAACTAGTGACGCCCAGCCGATCGAACAAATTATAAATCGTAAATCGACTCAATGAAACTATAAATTAATTGAATTCGAAAATATTTCACAAATCCCAAAGTGGAGCATTACGTCTTTTTGGCTAATTTCTATGTCAGCAGTTAGCATTACGTCAGAGGGAGCTAGAGCCCGAGCCATTAAGTCAAAAGTTGTATTTGTGCAATCAATGAAAATAAATTAAAAAATCCATTGGGCAAAAAAAAAGCACACACGACAGACACAGATTAAAATAAAAAAAAAAATAAGCAGAACAAAACTTTATGCAAATCCAAAAGCACAACAAACCGAACCGATTTAACCGGTTTATGGCGAATGCAGTGCAAAAATCTTTAAAAACCGAATCCAACAAATGACAACCGACAAGCGACATGTATACAGATGGACATGGAAACACGACCATAAAAAAGGTAACAACTCCCAGATATAAGAGATACATTAAATGTGGATAAAATTATGGGTTTTCGTGTTAAGCTGTGAGCAGCACAACCCACACACGACTTACCCCTCTCCAGGTTCTGTGTTCCTTTTGCCTAGAATCCAATGCTTCTCAAACTGTAGCTCGCTGCAAGCATATCTGCAAAGAAAATTATAACATTTATCATTAATTTAATGAATTTATAAACTAAAAAGTTGAACATTTACTCTCTGCATGACTTTTGATTAATTTTTCTTTAACGTGCAAATATTTTTTCTGTCAATTTTGCCAATAAATTCCATTTACATTGCCCCACCCACCCACTAATTTCATGGCTAGGATCTGGTCTTCCTTGGAGTTGGCTGGGCTGCTCCTTGCTGCCCTCAGGGCCATCAATCATACGCCATGTAAGCAGGCAGCAGGCATCAGACGAAGCACACAATCGAATCAATATCAGATACGGATGGAGGAGAGTGGGTGTTGTGGGTATAGAAATGCCATTTGCCAATTTCCATCACAGGCCAAGTCTGCCAGAGGAGCATCGGGTATCGGCCAGTCATAACAAATTCAGGGAACCATTTTGTTTATAAAGCAACTCTAGCTTATATATATCTTGTGTAAACAAAATGATTTTCAAGAATTTTTAATGCACACAAATCATTTTCTTAAGTGTATCCCCCAAGTTTTGACAGACTTTAGCGATAAACTGGTCCCGCAACTTGGGCCAGACACTGTCGGCTGTAATCATTGTTTGTTGTTGCGCCTTTGACACCAGAGTTTATTAAAAGATCTTACTTGGCTCCCTCTAATAACTCAATTCGGGTTTTATTTTTTTTTTCTAACCAACATTTAATTTTATTGACACATTTCAGTTGGCCAGAACCGTTGGTCGGTTGGCGGGGTAGAACGGGGGCGAGTAATTAAGCCTGATGACGTATCCAAAAATGTCTCGAAACGATTTTGTAACTTTGGCTGGCGCTGCCTTTCATGGAGAGACCAAGACTCGAACCCCACTCAATACAACTTGACCGAAAGCCAACAACGGCCACCATAACTGGTCAGAGCAAATGATTTTTAATAACTTTGACACTCATTAAACTCAAATTACATGCATTTGATTACGCAGCCATATGGGAGTCAAGTCTTTGCATTTTTTTTGGATTTTTTTTAAATTTTTTTCTCTAAACTTTAAGCCGCTTAAGTTTCATCATCTTATCATCAGAGATGAGAGACTTAGAGAGGCTTAGTAGTGAAGGTTAGTTACTCCACCAAAGTTCATCGACAATTAAAAGCCATTTAATTAACTTGGCTTGGATTAAGAGCCCTGATGGCAATGGCTCTTTAATTAGATCCTCAAAGAATTCAATCGTTTCTCGAGAAGAGAATCGTTGCTCTATAAAAAAAAGGTAATTAAATCAAAAGTGAAATTCTCACACAACCCGGGAGGCTTTTCTTGATAGATTAAAACACACTTGAATTAATTACTCACTTTGTCTTTTTTTTTTTTAAAGACTGACGGGTAATTCCCTGAACCCTGAACTTGACATCGTCTCTGAACCCTTCATGTGCTAACTTATTTTTAATTGCCAGTCTTGGCGAGTCTTGGCCAAGTCGCGCTCTGAGCCGCAATCGCTAAAACCTATTTTTTTACGAGTTGCAAACTCTGAGTGGAACGTGCTCGACTCGGAGTCTTCACTGTAGACTTGCTGCTTTTTGTGGCAAGTCTCTCGGGTCTTTTTTTGCCAAACGGGAAGTAAGCTCTCGAACTAAATCAGACGACTTACACTAAACTTCTCAATGGATTGGGCCAAGATCTGTGAAATGGCACGAACTTGGTCTTCTCGACTGGCTAATGGAGCTTCTGGAATGCGGCTGCATAATTCTTTGATTTTATTTTAGAAGAAACAAGAAGCACTTCCATGACACACGAAAATATAAAAATTAAAGCCATTCTTTGTCTCGCATTCCCACACAAATTAGAAGCAAATGAAAGAAAGATTTAAAGAAAATTTTAGGAAAATCACTCACGAACATATGGCTTGCAAAAAGAAAAAATGTGTCTGTGGCATACACGAAAACCCATCCAATTAAATCCAATCGACACTTGCCACAAAAGACTGAGAAAAACCAACTGAGAGACGCCACCGGAGAAACAAAAGCAAACCGAGGAAGTCTAGGCTTCTGGAGGGAAAATGGCAGGGAAAAATCGAGGAAAAAGACGACACCGTTAGCAGAATGACATGCAAAGTGCAGCTGCTTTTCAGGCATGCCACAGCTGAGGCACAAAAATACAAAACTGCACATGTGTGCATGCCACAAAACGGGGCAGCTCGAACTCGACAGCAAAGAAAACAATCGGAAGAAGGTGGAAAAGCCGAGCCAGAGAGAAGATTGATTCTACGTCGCGTCACGTGGGAAATTTTCAAGTTCAAAGCAATTTTCCAAGGAAGCACACTGGCAATGGAACTGTAAAAAGCCCCCCAGACTAGGGCCCAGATACTAAATACAAAAAAATCAACAACAAAGCATGCACTCACGTGAGGCTCTCGGCTTGATAATAATCGGATTTGGAAGGAAAATCGTGAGCCGAGAAAAAAAAAGAGGGAAAACAGCACTAGGAAAATACAAAAAAATAATACAAATAGTCGGAAAAGTCACTTGTATCGATTACACAGCCAAGCAGCAGAAGCAGGTCCATCGTCAGGAGAATTCTTCTGGCCTAATGGATGGTCTTCGGGCTAGTCTTTGTCTTAAAACAGTTGGAATTAATTGACGTTAATAATGTTCCGATATCGGGATTTATGCTCAACCAACGGTATCTGTGGGGAGTCCCTCCCAGGAAAACCGGTTCCTCAAGAAGATCCATCCAGTAGTTGGCTAATGGCATCAAAAATACTTGACAATTTGTCCGCTGGGATGGAGACTTGCAGTATTTTAAGATTTTAAAGCTTTGTCTTATGGCAGAGAATGTGCTTATGGCCATGAGACTCACCTGAATGATGATTTCTGCACATTATCCAAGCACATTACCATCCGGCGAATGGATGGATGTATTAGTCTAAGACCCCATTTAGTTGCAATTTGCTCAATGACAACCAATAAATATTCAATTTCATGAAATTGCATTTACATTCGCTCACCATACCAGCCACTTGAACCACTTTCGCCCACTCACCTTGATTGCAAATACTGGCCTGCACCCACCTGCTACCCTACTCCTCTCTCTTTTTCTTATTTTTTTTAACTTGGCCCGCCGAGAAAGCCATTAACTTGGCCATCCATAATTTTTTAATTTAAAAAACTTTTGCCAGCGAATGTCGACTGAGTGAGTGGGCGATGAGCTTGCCTTGAGTTTGAATAACAAAAAGCAGCCTTTAAATTTAAATTTTAATCCCAAATCCAGACCTAGTCGAGTGGGAAACACTAATCCTTTTCAACTTTAATGGACAGGATTTGGTTTAAAGTCCTCTGTTGGCCAAGCAGAGTGATATTGGCTTAAAAGAAACTTCTTAAATATTTCCTAGCCGTGTATGTGTGTTCCATTTCCTGCTCGAGTAGGAGCCCCTCCGGCCAACAAAGGCGCTCCTGGCCCAACTCCTGCGGGCTTCTCCTTCAACTACTCCGAGCTTCGCATCCTTATGCATTTTTAAACAATCGCTAACCCAAATAAAGTTTTTTGCTTTCTCTCCCAGGAGCCAAACAAAAAGAAAAGCATACAAATAGGCGCTTTGGCCAGAACTAGAGCCAGAACCCTGGCTAAATGCCGAAAAAGATGCTTTTTAGGGCAAACCAAAACTTTACAAATTGCTACTCGAAAGTGGGAGCCGTAAATTTATTATCTGGTTCTGTAAGACGCGTATCTCGGTATCTTTGTATCTTTCAGGCAGCTTCTCCGCCTTGTTCTTGCCGATTTCTGATTGAATGTGGCCCGAACCACCTCACTCCGCTGGCTGCTAAATAATAACATGGAATTTACTTCCCAGTGGCAACTTCTGTTTTTGTTCGGTTCTGCCCCCGTGTTGTAGGTTGTGATGTTCTAACGCGATTGAAGAACAAAAAGAAGACCACTCTTCGTTACAAGAAGACTTGTCTTGATGACTTCTCTTCGAAATGGAGGGTGTAGTGACTTTGTGGTGGGTTTCTTGATTTTTCTATAATTTTTTAAAGATATATAGAGGTCTAAGATCTTGGTTCTTAGTTCTTTGTTCTTAGATCTAAGAAGTAGGTTTAGTAGTTGTTCTATTATACTCTCTCTTTTATTGTAGAGTATCCCCCTATTCAATGCCTTTATCATAAACTAAAACTCTATTTCATTCTCCGCCAGTTGATGTTCTAGTTTGTATCTAACCACTTGTATCTTGTATCTTGTAGTGCAGCTTTCGCAAACAAACTAAGAGGAGCCGAGGAGCATGCCGAGCCGAGTGATGGCAACTGTATGGCATCTGCGCTTCTTTCTGGCCATCTTTCTTTCAACCTCATGTGAAACTTGGCCATTAATTTGAACGCCGTTTTAACTCTGAGATGGCTGAGGGGGTATCGCATTAGTCTTTCCAATATATGTAGTCTTCTCATATTTTGCATGCTCCTATCCTACTGAGCTCATGAGTCGCTGGCATTTCCTTTTGTCTTCCACAATTATGCATTATCTTGGATCGTTGTTGGTTGTTGGATGTTCATTGTTGGCTCTTAGTTGTTACTTGCTGGTTGTTCTGTGTTCTCCTTCTTGCGCTTCAGGTCTTGCATTTAATTACTGCTCACATTTCTCAAATTTCTCTGCGCCTGTCTGCTGTGTTCTCAGTCACTTCTCAGGTGTCGTCTCCGCTGCCAGGCATTATCATTATCCGAGCCCCAGTCAGAGTCGGAGTATCTGCATTTGCATCTGCATCGTGCAGCGCCAACATTACGCTCATTATGAATTTCACTTGGCCATTGCCACTGGAGTCTTCTTCTGGGAAAGTTCTGTGAGGAAAGGCCCCCTGTGTGCTGTGATTTACTCATTAGAGTTATTAGGATTTTATGTTGGGTCTCTTTATGGCCAAATGAGCATGTTTTCATTGCTTTAACTGCTCAAGGACCAAGTCCTTTGTGAAAGGCCAAGGCCCGAGAAGACTTGGCCAATTAATTTATGCACCCTCTATCCACAGAGAAGTGGCTCGGGA